CTTTGTTTTGGAGCACATGGGGGAGCAAATCAATTTGGTCCTTGTAAGCTCCACCATTCAAAGAAAGGGCAATGAGGGTGATCATGCCCCCCATGTGTATCTCATCACCAAGCCGCCCATCTCGAGTGTCCAACAATCTCGAGATAAAAGTGGTGGAGCATTTGAACTTTAAACGCTGAGGATTGTCGGCCAAGTAAAGGCAAGCTACCTCATCTTTCACCATAGAGCCGAGGTTTGCCTTGAAGAATACGACATACTGAAGGAGCCGGGCAAAGTATCTCAAAGCAATATGGATGATGTTGTTGACCTTTGCGGTGTTAGTGCGAAAGACGGGCTTGGTGGAGATGCTCTGCCACCATTCTTGTTCATTATAGGGAATGCGACACATTGAGGTCATATCGGAAGGTCGATGCATCCCGGTTGCTTGCCAATGGAAGATCTCATTGAGCTCACTCTCGGTTAGGGAATGGTCTTCGTTGAACATACGAAAGTGAAGAATAATTTGAGATTCATTCCCTTCATCATCTTCTTCGATGACTTCCTTGCGGAGGGAAGCAAGGAACTCCAATGTGACGCGCTCATAGGTGTGAGCGTGGAGGTCAATGAACTCGCCCCAACCAAAGTTTTGTGCGAGCCGGACTACTTCATCCATGATGCCAAGCTTTCTTAACGTGTTCCCGCAGAAGAACCTTGTAGATCGTATGGGACGGTCTATGAGGGTTTTATAGACATCCCAAAAGTGTTTGTTTGGAGCGATGATGCCATGATCATAGATGCCGGGTGGAGGTGGAAAATTTGACGATGAAGATTCACCCGTCCTCTTCCTCTTGGACTTGCTTTTGCCAAAAAAGATGCATTGTGAATCTACAAAAATCGCCAAGAATTAACATTAGGAAGATTCAAGCCAAAAGGAGGCACAAGAAGCTCGTCGAGATAAAAAGTGTGCACAATGAGAGTAAAAGCCATGAGTTGTGAAATAGATGTAGACGGTAGCAACAATACAATTCAAGGCATTAATGGACACTTATAAACCAAGGCATGAGCTAAAAATCCTATGGCAATCGAATGCAAATCCTAAGAAAACCTAGGCGAAATTGGGCATGATGTCCCCTAAAATTCATGAAATCCACTCAAAACTCATCGAAATCAAACCGAGAACAATGAGTAATAGTCACAAAATTCCATCCAACTCAAGAATTTCTCAATCAAAATGTAGCATGAACAACCTAGTGAAAGATTAACACATTCAAGCAAACAAATTGAAATCATGAAAACCCAAGTCATACATGCATATTCATCATGAAACAAGTTCTACTAACAACAACCAACCAATTACAACAAGGAAATCCCAATAACCACTTAAATCAAACAAGCCATGACTAACAATATCAATTATACCACATATCATACTTGAACATGTAAAACATGGTAAAACAAAGAGAAATTGAAGAAATGAGCTTGCGAAAGCTAGAATAACCATACCAAAATTGATTGGAAGTAAGTAGAAATCAAGAAGTTTCAAGTCACTCAAACCCTAGAAATTGGGGAAAATTTAAGGAGATTGTAGGAATTGAGTAGTGGATGTTAATGAAGTGAGGAGGGAAAAAGATAGGAGTGATTTTTATGGAGATTTGAGGTTGAAGGAGGGGTGACAATGGAGTATTAGGGTGAGAAGGAGAAGAGAAGGGAGAGAAAGAGAGCCGAATGTATGAAGTAAGAGCGAGAAAGCAGCGGCTCAAGCCTATTAATTCTGGGCAAGCTCGAAAAAGGTTCGGTCGGACCTTATGAGGTTCGGTCGGACCACAATAAGTTCGACCAAACTTTTGAAAAGTTCGGTCGAACTTTTGGATTTTCCAGAAACTGCCAGAATTCAGCCTAATTTGATTTCCAGAACAGGAGCGGCCGAACTTTCTAGGGGTTCGGTCGGACCAGCATAGGTTCGACCAAACTTTTGAAAAGTTCGGTCGAAATTTTTGATTTTCCATCATTTCCTCCAAGCTAGACCTACTATGTGGTGCTTGTGCATAGTGGTTGTCTTGGGAAGCCCTATTACCTCTAACATTCGAATTGGACGTATTTTGATTAGAAGAACCTCTATTATTATTGTTGTTCCAATTGTTCCGATTATTAGAGTTTCCCCTTGGTGAAATTGCCCTTGATTCCCATAGTTTCCTTGACTATTATGATTATGGTTACCATAACCACCTTGTTGGTTGTAGTTACCTTGGGGATTTTTGTCCCTTTGGTTCCTACTTCCCCATTGATTTTGATTATGGTAATCGTAATCATTTCCTCTTTGGTTATAGGAATTCCCCCCTTGTTCTCTTCTATTTGGTGGTAAGTATCTTTGATTGTCATTCCTATGTATATTATCATAAGACAAGGCATTGACTTGTTCATTTTCATTTTCATTACCATCTTTGTATTGGGGTTGGGGTTGGAAATCATAATTACAAGAAGAGGTATCATGGTCATAAGACCCACAATTTTCACAAAACAAACATCCATGAGGCATGTTATTAGAAGTAGAGGGAGAAGAGTTAGAATTCATACCTCTCCCCTTAGATTGGGAGGGATGCTCTTGTGTTGAACTAGAGGTCTCTAGTTTTGCCTTAATGGACGTCATCTCCTTTCCAAGGTTGGCGATTTGGGAGGTCAAATTGTTGATGGCATTAAGGTGATCAACGGAGTAAACCGCATTTCCTCCCTTTTTTAGAGAATCTCTCTCTCCTTCTTGCCAATGCATGTGGTGCCTCACCACATCCTCAATTATCTCTATGACTTGCTCCTCCGTCTTGTTCATAATCGGGCCACCCGCTCCTGCATCCAAGCTAGTCTTTCCTTGTGGGCTCAAGCCCCCATAGAAAATTTGAAGCACTTGATATGACGGAATGCCATGATGAGGGCACTCCCTTTGATATTCCTTGTATCGTTCCCATGCTTCATAAATGGTTTCACTAGCTTTTTGACGGAAACCTTGGATCAAAGCTCTTGCCTCGGCCGTCTTCTTTTGGGAATAGAATCTTCCTAAGAAAGCCGTGGTGACCTCGTCCCAAGTTCTCAAGGAGTTAGGCCTCACCTCCTTCTCAAGCCATTCAAGAGCTCTTCCTATCAAAGAAAAAGGAAACAACTTTAGTCTCACAAACTCTTGAGTTACCCCATTTACCTTGATCGTGTTACAATATTTTTCGAACTCGTTCAAGTGTGCAAGAGGGCTCTCATGTTTTGCTCCACTATATTGCCTCCTTTCAATCAAATTAATCATTGCGGGCCGAATCTCGAAGTCATTGGCTTGAGTAACGGGTGGAGCAATGCCGCTTGAAGCTCTATAAGCTCCCGGAGTTCCCAACTCCTTTAAAGGTCTTTGAGGTGGTGGTTCCGCGTCACCCATTTGATCTCGACCCTCCTCGAAATTGGTCTCCCTAGCTGGGGGAGTAGTAAACGGCCTAGAACCGGCTCTTTTTCTCCTTCTATAAGTTTGCTCAATCTCGGGATCGTAAGGTACAAAGATCCTGTTATGAGTTCTGCGCATACACTCTCAACAAACGCAATTAGTACCAAGGCTACAAGTGTAGCCAAAAAGAAACAATCTTTTTGAAATTTTTTTTTTTATGGTGAACTAGACTCAAGTAATCAATTAGCTATCAACAACACCGTTCCCCGGCCACGGCGCCATTTTGATGGGCGTTAGAACGGTCGTACATTCCACACTCAATCAAACACATTTATTAACAAACACCTTACAAACAAAGCATAATGACAAGTAAGAGTTCGGTCCACAAGGAACGGGATATGATTGCCAAAGATCTTTACACTTAAGCTAACTCGAAGTCAATTGGTGAATTGGGGTTCGTCAAGAAGACAAACAAACTATGGTTCTAAATCAATGAATTAAAGATACTAGGGAATGAGATCCACTCAACCAAGGCAAATAGGCAAACGGGGAGTAAAATAGACAAGATATAGCAAGGACCATATGTAAAATCAACCTCATGCAATTAGAAAACAACTCACACTACTAAACTTAGATTCCTCATTAGTTTAGCAATAGATGATACATAATCAAATTACAATAAGTAATGACGTACTCAATTTACACTTCCATGTCAAATTAGGCATATCATACTATCAAGCTCCTTAGTCAAGGGTAGCTAAACCTATCATGAGGAACTAACAAGCAATCTCATATAATCAATTTAATTGCAATACAAACATCAATGCTTCTCCCACATTTGCATAGTTAACCCAAAAGGTCGAGCTTCACCCAACCCCTAGCAAGAAGACTACTCACAACTCATGTTTATCAACATGCAATCAAGAATTAGGGTTCTAAATACTTCAATAATTGGGAAAAAGTGGTTAACAATTGAAATAACTATCATCCAATAACAAATTACCAAGAACTAAGAAGATTTAAATAACATGCAAATACCAAATAAAATCTGAAATTAAAAGGAAGAAGGTTGGAGAAATTACTAATTGAAGCTTCAAATGTTGAATACAAATTGCCAAACTTTGAGAATAATTCTTTAATTTCACTAATACAATGATTTGATTTGATGAAAACTAAGCTAAACCAGGGGAATAGGGGGAATGGTCAGAATGGGAAGTTTGGGAATGGTAGCAACAACAACAACAAGTCTGACAACGGCAACAACAACAACTTAGGCAACAACAACTCAGGCAACAACAACAATGGTTATCAGGCAAGAAACAACACTCCCGGCCGCTTGTCTATGATGAGCAAGGGAGAAGCTGAGAGGTCCTCGGATGTAGTTACTGGTACTTTTTCTATCCATTCTGTCTCTGTCAACACTCTATTTGACTTTGGAGCAGCTTATTCTTTCATTTCTACTTCTGTTGTGCGCAAGTTAAACTTAACTGAATCGAGTCATGTTGATGTGTCAGTTAGTCTGCCTACGGGCAAACTTGTTCATTGTAATAAAATATTCAAAGGCTTGCCTTTGAAAATAGGAGAAGCTATCTTTCCATCAGACCTTATTAAGTTTAACCTAGGGGACTTAGATGTAATTCTGGGGATGGATTGGCTGAGTTTATACAAGGCCAAGATAGACTGTGAGATGCAGAGGGTGAAGCTGAGTGATCTGTTGGGTAAGATAGTGTCCTATAGACAGTTAGGGAATCCTAAGGGTTTTGGGATCATTCCTGCTATGAAGGTGAAGAAGCTAGTGAATAAGGGATGTCCATTGTACTTTTGCTGTTTTCAAGATTTGAGTATGAGTGAGAGTAGAAGGATGAAGGATGTACCCATTGTGAATGAGTTTTTAGATGTCTTTCCAGAAGAGATTTCGGGAATGCCACCTAAGAGGGAAGTTGAGTTTACCATTGACTTAGTTCCAGGAGCTGCACCTATCTCAAAAGCACCATATAGAATGGCACCAGTTGAGATGAGTGAACTAAAGGCTCAATTGGAGGAGTTGTTAGACAAGGGGTTCATTAGGCCTAGTGCATCACCTTGGGAGCACCTGTGTTATTTGTGAAAAAGAAAGATGGAAGTTTGAGGCTATGTATTGATTACAGAGAGTGAATAATGTGACTGTGAAGAATAAGTACCCTCTACCTAGGATAGATGACTTGTGTAACCAAAAGTTTAAGCTGATGGTTGAGGCCCAGAAATATGTTTTATACTCTATCAATTATAATAACATATTTTTGTGCCACCCACAAAGGACAATATGCATATTTGATCACATTACATTAAAGACTTTAACTAAGGCATCCACAATCTGATATATAACCTTCTAACACTTGATCATTTGGATTTTCATCAATTTATTTTCATAGTTTGATCATCTAGCATTATGAAACACAAAGAAAGGATCAATTTATTTTCATAGTTTGATCATTTAGCACTATGAAACACAAAGAAAGGATCAAAGGAACTAAGGCTACTCTTGATTTACATACGGAGTACCCACTATGCTCTTTTGACCATCTATATACGGTATCTTAAATTATACACAACTCTCTTTATAATTGATAATCTATCATAGTGCACAATTCAGGATCACATTTTCTAGTGACATATTAGACCATTGATTCCAAATTTTCCCACTAAATAAAAACCTCAATTATTTTTTGTATCAAGTTTTGGTGGAGAATAAGAAACGATAGAATGACTCTCTTCCAACGTAGACATGTGTATAATGTATTATTCAAAAGTCTCAAGACTCTCTTTAAACGAGCTATTGTTTATATATATAGCAAATTGATGATTTTACACATAAAAGATATTAAAGTTATTTTATTTTTTTTAATGGGAAGACCAAAGATATTTTCATTTAAATAAGATACGACACTAAATCAATGATATTTATGCGGAGATGCAAAGAACAAAAGCTTGAAACATTTTAGTGACTTGATTCCACAAAAGTTATATAATTGACAAAAAGTTGCAGCAACTAGATTTTTCAAATTCCAAATGAAGGTTAGTAATGGCAATCATTTTCATGTATGCTGGAATCATAGGAAAATTACTCCCTTCGTGTTTTTTAAAGTGTTACACTTTTCATTTCTGATCGTGTTTTTTTAAGTGTTACACTCCCTTTTTTGGCAAAAAGTTACATTAAGATACTATATCTCTCTCCTCTCATGGTCCCCGCCGAAACCCACTACTAATTTTTTATTATATATTTTCACTCACATTCATTACTTTTCAATAAAATATTAACTCTACTATATTTCTTTTACAATTTTTTTAATATTTCAACTACCTCACTAACCTCATATTTTATTTAATTCAATTAAATTGCCTATAATTTTATGCCGGTCAAACTGTACGCTTAAAATTAAAAAAACACGGAGGGAGTATCTTTTTCTCTTCTCTTAATACAGTATTTGATAATATAATATCAATATTTTTATTTCTTTTTTCTCAATGAACATGTTTGTGCAGCAATAAATATACATATTATAAAACTTTGACATTTGAAATTGAATATCTATACGAATTAAACAAAATCCCTAAATACACTATTTCTACTCTTTCTAATTTATAATACTCCATAATAAACTTATAATTAGGGTTAGTTCATTTTATTCAATTTTTTTTTTATTTAATTTTTTTTTATCAAGAAACTAGAAAAGGTAGTGTTGTCAGCTTTTAAAATCATGATGATTTTACTAATAATAAATTTGACTAATCTATTATTCTTTTTATAAAATATACAAAGTATAAAATTGAAAATTATAGTGGTACCAAATTGTTTCAAATCAAATAATTCTAAATTGGAATATCTTTTAAGTTCGGATAAATTAAATACAATACCTTTTATATACACTCTGGTATGTAGGTGTACAGAAGGGTAGTTTTTTTGCTCATTTGATATCGATTTTGCTTATTTTAAGATATAATATTTAAATAAGCAAAAAAATATTAAATGAGTATAATATACATACGCTTGGACGTATCTTACATTCTTGTGTAAATAATTTGACAATGGATTCTTGAATTTTCTATTTGAGTTTTCTTTCCTAAAAGTTATTTCAAGTTGTTGACAGAATGACAAATTCCACTTGGTCCAATAACTTAATTTTATTAGATCCTGAGTAATTATTTGGACCACTATAAACTCAGCCTTTGATAAGTCAATCAAAATCTTATGTAACACTAAATAGATAAAACAACACTATAAAGAAGCAAGATTAAGGTCACAATTTTCTATTATGCTTATTAAATTCTTTTAGATGATCTATTAAGATCGCTGTTAAACAAAATATCTAGTATATTGACAAATTTGGTCGTAAATAATAAGTGCTACTTTATGATGATTGATATGGGATTAGAGAAGACTAACATTATAATAATCTTATTAGATAGTATTAGATAACAAATGTTTTAGCTAAATTGCGTTGATCATGTGAAATTAATTTAAGGTTAGAAGAGACAAGGATAAAAATGTACACCTTAAACTTTTTTTAAGTAGGAGTAGCTTTCAATGTCTATAGCATCATCAATCTGACTATTCTACATCCACTATCACACTCCAACTACCAAATTTTTAAAATGCTTTCAGTTGTATATATATATATTTTTTTCCTACTGTAATTTTACACATTTATTTATGAATTTATTTTTATTTACGGAGTATGAGATATAGGGTTTCGATTTATTTAGTTAGCTAATTACAAAATATTGACCTAGTGGTAAGGAGTGAACCTTTCCGTTAGCCTTAAGGTTGGGAGAGGGGTTCAATTTCTCCACTAGGCACTTTAAGTGTAAGGATCCCTTTACCCTTCTTTGCTACTCTTAAAATGCATAATATGCTAATTTAATTCGGATAGTGTTGCTTTGTAAGAAATTTTGGGTCGACGGGACAGTTCTTACCAACCCCTCCCCCCCCCCCAAAAAAAAAAAATAAAAAAAATAAATAATAAATAAATAAATAAATAAATTGTGATGAGGGGAAGATCTTGGGACCTTTAAGTTACCAAAGGAAATTCCTTGTCACTAGATCGAGCAAACCTTTTGTGGTATGCAATCATTTATAGTGATTTTGATAAGATGAGCAAAGAATAGAAATTTGCAATTATTCTTATCCCTTTAGTCACTTACCCCCGTGTATTATACGGATTAGTAGTAATGTATAACACCATTATAGACAACATTTTACTTTTTCGAAATTAATTATGATTTGTTATTCTTTGACTTATAATGAACTTGTCATATCACTCATATGTATTCTATAATCCAATAACATTGTACACTTACCATTACAATAACAGATCTTGTTTACAAGGAAGTGTTTAACTACTTTAACACAAATCAAAAGTAATTTCTAGTAAGGGTTTGCAATCCCTAAACTATTCCCAAAAAGTTAAGACCTAATTTTTGCTAAATATATGAAAGAAAACAAAGTTGCACATGTTTTCCTATTTTGTGGGACAACTTAATGGAGTGATTTGATACATTTTGATTGGATTTGGCTCTTGACAGCTACCAAAGGTTACCATAAAGGGGTATGAACATTTGTTACTTATTTAAGTTATATATCCTGGAAATTGCAATGATAATCTACCCATTTATGAATACATTTTTGTAAAACAATTTTCCTTTCTTTTTTTAGGTCAACATAGAATTACTTGGTATTATTTTATTTATGCCAATATAATAAACTAAATAATTTAGTGTTTGTTTATAGTTGTATTTGATGAGAGCTCCACTAAACCGTATGTCTCGAGCTCACAATCAATTTTACTACAGTAATAGTTATTATAAAGTTATGGCTGGTTTGACATAACATTTTTCTTAATCCAAAATCTAATTTCATGATAAATAATTTTTGAGGGATACCCCAATTGTATAATAGTTTCATATTTTTGGTTTCTTCCATTTAGAACTATGATGAATGGGAGGAAAGAAAAAGAAAGGTAAAGAGTAGGGTAGAGCCGTAGAGGTCCCTGTATAAAGCATACTCCGTATTAATTAATTCTCTAGAGATGAAAATCACATTAAAACGCACAAGAGAAAAGGTCCTTGAAGTCTAGGTGCACGACAATGACTTGTGACTTTTGGATTATAGCACATCTTTATTTTTATTTTTACGCATATTATTTCCATTAAAAGAGTATAAATGGAAATGAAATAATACCCTAATTTTGCTCCTTACATGTAATTAATTTTATAGAATTTTGATGAATATGAGGAAAGAAAAAATAATAATTTAGAGTAGAGGTCCTTGTATAAAGCATAATCCATATTAATTAATTCTCTAGATATACTAAAAATAGCTTTAACCAGCGCACTTGCACAAGACTTTAGGACTATAGCACATCTTTATTTTAATTTTTTCTCATTTTATTAAAAGAACATAAATGAAAACGAAATTGATACTAATACCATAAAAATTATGCTTAGTATTCTTATTGTATTAGCTGGACTAAATATTGCCCCTCGTGCATTAAAATAAAACCACATGAATAAAATAATTACGAAACATTTCAAGATTTCAACGATATAATAATGTTTTGGGTGGCAAATCACTTGAAAATTATTCTTAAGGAATTATTAGTTGAAGAATAAGGTCTAAGGGCATCATTTAGAAGCAGACCAAAAGAGGTGAAGCATCACTTTCTAGCATCACTTTGAAGCAGACCTAAATACAAATGCCTAGTTAAGCATTTAGCCAACGTATGTCAAATTCAGTTATATAGCTAGTTTATAAAGAGTTAACCGTACGTTTGGTGATTAATTTTAAAACCTGAGAGTGAGGGATAGCTCAAGTGGTTAGAGTTTTCTTCCCGATTCTAGGATCTTGGGATCGATTCTCACCCCGCCCTTGTGGCTCTCTAAATACCAAAAATAATTAATTTTAAAACCTATGAGTAATATGTAAACTATGCTTACTTTTATTCTTTTTATTTTAAAATTTATGAGTAATATTTTTTTAATATTAATATAAATAAGTTATGCTTCCTTTTTTTTTGGGTTATACTCTATAATATATTGACTTCTAACACTATCTACAAATTTTATGTCAAT